TCTTACTCAAATATCTCATCTTAAAAACAAATTTTCTGTATGGTGGTCTGCTTTCAACTCCTCTATCCCAAGCATCATGGTTCAAACTTCTTGAAAGACTCCTCTACCACATTTGGTTCCCAAATGTCAGTCCGCAGACTGACTCTCTGACAATCACCAGAACTAAAGAATCTCTATTTTTAAAAAATGTTCCCCAGGGGATGCATGGCTCACCTAGCTTAAGAATTTACCTTCTCTGATTCCTTTCTTTCTCTGATTCCTCATTTGTTGATGGACTAAGTTTGGCTTTTCTTTCTAATACTTCTCTGGTTCTAATCTACCTAAGATCATCAGTGGTGTTCTTTTTTTTTTTTTTTTTTTTTTTTAAGATGGAGTTTTGCTCCTGTTGCCCAGGCTGGAGTGCAATGTCATGATCTGGGCTCACTGCAACCTCCTTCTCCTGGGATCAAGAGATTCTCCTGCCTCAACCTCCTGAGTCATTGGGATTACAGGCACCTGCCACCAAGCCCAGCTAATTTTTGTTATTTTTAGTAGAGACAGAGTTTCGCCATGTTGCCAGGCTGGTCTTGAACTCCTGACCTCAAGTGACCCACCCACCTCGGCCTCCCAGAATGCTGGGATTACAGGCATCAGCCACCTCACCTGGCCTACCAATGGTGTTCTTAATGGAAACTGGGCAGAGTGGTTCATCCCTGTAATCCCAGGATACTGGGAGGCCAAGAAGGAAAGATTGCTTGAGACCAGGACTTTGGGACCAGCTTGGGTAACATGGTGAGTCCCCATCTCTTAAAAAGAAAGAAAATAGTCTGGTAAAGGTTTTTAAATTCCTCACTTATTTTACTCTGTGTAAAATTAAATGTTAAGGTTGGGTGTGCTAGCTCATGCCTATAATCTCAGCACTTTGGGAGGCCAAGATGGGTCAACTGCTTGAGCCGAGGAGTTCAATGCCAGCCTGAGAAACACGGTGAGCCCATCTCTACAAAAACACAAATATTAGCCAGGTGTGGTGGTATGCACCTGTAATCCCAGCTACTCAAGAGGCTGAGGCATGAGAACACTTGAACCTGGGAGGTGGAGGTTGCAGTGAGCCGAGATGGCACCACCACACTGCACAGAGCAGATCCTATATCAAATAAATCTATAAATAAAATTAAAATTAACTATTACATACTCTGTCCTTCAAATTCCGCCCTTCTGAACTTCTCTGGGATCCTTGTCTTTGACTTGTTTTTCCGCTATTGATGCTCACCAGATCCCATCCCATGGTGTCCTCTAATACTTCTGGGCCTAGGCCCCCTCTCCTTAGGTGAAAACTTCTGCATTTAAGGATCTAGTTATTGTTTGGGCTGATTTCTGCAGTTCATATCTTTAGGCCAGACCATATTTCTAAATTCCAGAACCATATATTTTATTGCATGCTTGATATTTCTCCCTAAATATGCTACAAGTTTACCTCAAATCCAATAAATTCAAAATTGAACTCATGTTCATTCGAATGCTCTTAAATGATAGTAATCTTAGACTCTTCCTCCCTTTGTACTCATCTCATATCTGTGTCGTCAGACTTTCTATTATTTCTGTCCCTTAAGTTTTTCTCAAGACTGTCATTTCTTTCCTCTCCCCTATACCTGCTGACTTAATTTAGGAGTCATAATTTATGGCCTAGATTACTGTGATTACTGTGAGATTACTAGATTACTGTGAGAATCACCTCTGGGGTTCTCTTGTATTTGTGGCCCTTGCTGCAGTTTAACCTCCATGTTGCTATAAGAGTGAGCCGCTTCCTTTCCTGCTTAAAATAAAATAATGGCTTACCACTGCAGGTCATGGTGTCCAAATTCCTTTACTGGGCACATACATTCCTATATAATTATCCCTTCTTTCTTCTCAGTCTTATCTTCTACTCATCTCTCTAAAAACACTGTTCAATTTATCCATGAGCTTCTTGGGTTTCCCTGAACTGACATATTCTCTTGTGCCTTTGTACATTAAAAATGTTGTAGGCCAGGCACGATGGCTCATGCCTGTAATCCCAGCACTTTGGGAGGCCGAGGCTGGTGGATCACCTGGGGTCAGGAGTTTGAGACCAGCCTACCAACAAGGAGAAACCCCATCTCTACTAAAAATACAAAATTAGCTGGGTGTGGTGGCGCATGCCTGTAATCCCAGCTACTCGGGAGGCTGAGGCAGGAGAATCGCTTGAACCTGGGAGGCAGAGGTTGCAGTGAGCCAAGATGGCACCATTGCAGTCTAGCCTGGGCAACAAGAGCAAAACTCCATCTCAAAAAAAGAAAATTGTAAGTTCTGGGAATGCCCCCTTTCCTGTCCAGGGTTACTCCAGCCCATGGTTGCCTTTGTGCAAATTAGAGACCAATTCTTCATCCAGGCAGTCAAATCTATGGGTGCTCAGATTGGTGATAGATAGTGCCTTTGTGAGACACAGAACAAGACACTTCCTCTGGGCTAAAGCAGCCACATACTGCAGTGCAAGTCTTGGTGAGCTGAACACTGGCTCCATTTTTCTTTTCTGACCCTCCTCCGACCTGCTGGGACCCCCTGGGCTGAACAACCCATATAATACAGTGTAGTAACCCTGCTCCTACCTTCTCCTTCTCCTGAAACACTCTTGCTTAAGATTGGCTTAGATATAGAATTTCTATCTCTGATCAGACCCACGGTATTTATCCTTTTATTTGGTCATCAGCCCTTTGAAAAATATGAAGAAAGCTGTGGGTCCACTCTCCATAGAAGGAAGCACTCTAGCATCCTTGTAACATGTAGCCTACCCGAAGTTAGAAACCACATTCCCGGTGTTATTCAAATTCTTGGCTCTCGTGCCCAGGAGAGAGTCTAACACTTAGTAGGCACTAAGTGGCTGGGGAACTTTTGAGAGCATTTTCTGACAATCCACGTAAGTGCTTTCTCTGTATTCTTACTATGCTATTTGCAAACTGCTGCTCTCTCCTAACGTATTTAGCATACTGCCATCATTGCTTTCTTGTCTGTGTTCCCAACTAGGCTCTGAAATTTTCTAGAATGGGCACTGCTATGTTCATAGCTGTATTCCCAGGATCGAACATAGTACCAAGCATGTAACAGGCATTTGATATGAGTAGGGATTGAATACAATTTTTCAACGACTCCAGAAATACTACTGCTGCTACTACTACTACTTTTTCCCCCAAAAATACTTCTCCATAAATTATCAACTTCTGCTGAGCATAAACGGACTTTTTTTTAAAGATGGAGTTTCATTCTTGTCGCCCAAGCTGGAGGTGCAATGGCACAATCTTGGCTCACTGTAACCTCTGCTTCCTGGGTTCAAATGATTCTGTTGCCTCAACCTCCCTAGTAGCTGGGATTACAGGTACCAGCCACCATGCTCACCTAATTTTTGTATTTTTAGTAGAGACAAGGTTTCACCATATTGGCCAGGCTGGTCTTGAACGCCTGACTTTGGGTGATCCACCCACCTTGGCCTCCCAAAGTGCTTGTATTACAGGTGTGAGTTACTGCACCCGGCCATAAACAGACTTTTGTTGGATAAAATTTAGCTACTGTGTGACTGTTTGTGAGTTGGAATCTATTAGTGAAAAGGTTAAAACCAATGGTCTCAACTTCTGACCTTGCTAAGGGAACCCAGCCTTTTGTCTCTAGCTGCTTTTGTGGCTTTCTCACTGTTCTCTGGGTAGCATTCTGAATACTGCTTGCTTGCTGTCTTTTACCCTTTTAGATCCACCACTAACCCCCAGTCCCTACCCTGGAAGGCAGGGAACTCTTAACAATGGAATGCTTTTGCACTCTTGAGTCAGGAATTTTTCCTAGACGAGAAGCATGTTTATTTGGTTTTATAGTTTTCCATTAGTTTGCCTCCTAGAATTCTGTGTTTCATTAATAATCCAGTTGCTTGCAGTATAATTGATTCTCTTTGTAGGAAATTTCCTTTAGTTTTTTTCTGAAACCGAAATCATCATTCATTTTGCCTTTCAAAATAGGACTAGTAATTAGTTTTGAGTGAATGAAGACTTTCATGGAAATGAACAATACAAGCAGTGTTTTCCTTTGTTTGATAGAACCAGACTTATATTTGGGCTTGAAAGTGATGATTTCCATTATTCCCCTTTCACAGGTCCTCTTCTGGGCAAATTCAATTTTTTATTAAAGCAAACCCAGCTGCTTACTGTCTCTCTTGGAGTCATTTAAAACTTCATGATCCTCCTGGGTTGTAGAATGTGTTTCAACTCCCCATCAAATTTTGTTGTCTAGGAATTTTACTTGTTTTTCATAGGTCATAGCAAGTTAAAAAATGACAGTGTGTCACAGTGAGCAAAAAGCAAATGTTCCTGGGTTATTTAAATTGGATTAAAATATGCCAGTGCCATGGTGACGGTAATATCAAATATGAAGCCCTTTATCTCTAGGCTCTCCAAACAGCTAATTAAAAAAAGGAACTATTTTCTATTCAAGTGGATGGGTTTTTTAAAATGACATGTGCTGTTCAGTCCCGCAATGGCTTTAAGTATCTGATTCTAAGTCAGAAGGGAGTTGGGTTGTCTTATTGAAAATCTCTTCCCGAATACTTTAGTAGAATTTGGGTGTATGTATAAATTTTGCATGAGCTATTTAACCAATTATTATAATTTTAATTTAACATGCTTGGTATGGAAATTTCATGTTTTCATGAAAACATTTTGAAAGCATTGCTTAAAAAATAAATGTTGCTATGGTTTGAACTAAAGTATAAAAATGGGAAATACCGGTTTTGTGATTATACCAATCAAGTCGGGAGAGGGGAGCTATGGAAAGAACTTGGAGCTCCTGGCTGGCAGTGCAGTGCCCATAGGTCTGACAGGGTATACCATCTTGGGGCCTCTAGCAGGATACTGTATTAGACTATCAAAGCCACTTGAACCTTGGGATTTGGGCCTTGGGTAATTTTAGCATCATGACTCTGCTTAAAGCATCTTTAATAAGTTTTGTTTTGATATTTGCTATTTCAGAGCAACAAACTGGAGGAGAAAAAAAGGCTTGAAGAAAACCGTAGAAGAGAAGCATTTAGAGAGCATCAGCAATAGTAAGTTTATGTTTTCAGAACTTTGTACCTTTATAGGCAGATTCTCATACAGGTTTTAAATTCAGGTGATGGTAACTTGTAAAAACATCTGGTATTGGATCATTGGCTGTTATATTAATTATGTAATAGAACTCTGTCACCATGTAAGTGAGAATCTAAGGTGGGCAACATGTCTACTCACCAAAGTATCCTTTAGTAGTCAATTGATCAGCAATAACACTGCATTTGAGAAATTCCCCATTATAAATAACTTGGAAGACTTGATCCTTTGGTGATCCAAGGTACGTCTGCTTATGTTGACTTCCAAGATAACAATATAAGGATTGGAGTATATGCATTGAAGTGCCTAAGCAGAATCTAAACTGACCAGGGATTTATCTAATGGACTGAGGACTACTATGTACTTGTATTTTTTTCTAGACAAGAATTAAGAAATCATTTAGTAGTTATTGGCAAAACTCTCAACTGGTGGTCATACATCAAGGTGATTTGCAGTATGATTTGTGAACGACAGCAGCTAATAGATGTAGGGCACCTATTACATGCTTTATAATGTACTCTACTTTGTTATGTAGGCTTTAAGGATAGGTTCACGTCCTAACTCTTGGTAGCCCAGTTATCTGCACACTGATTAAAAAACAAAACCAAAGAATTTTATTTCTGGTTCTACATTAATTCTAAATGTGGTAGAAATAGAACCAAGCAGATCTGGGTTCAAAGTCTTAGCTCCCGCTAAAACTCTTTGAATGTCAGTGTTTTTTTTCTTAAATAGAGATAATATCTATCTCATATGCCATTTGCAAGAATTAAATAAAATATGTAAATGACATAAAAATGCCCATTATAGGCACTTGAAATGATCCCTCTTACAGAGGCCCTTATTGAATAGGATCATACAACTTTTATTTTATGGAGGCTGAACACGGATTTCTGGTCCCACCAGAACCAGTAATGGGCCCTCCACTTTCATATGAAATATTCATTGACTGCCTTGTGTTCTCTTGCTTCATTGTTGTCCCTTGTTTGTAGAATTTAAGATCACTCAGATATTGGGGTAAGCATATTTGTGACACCCTCCAACATATTCCTCCTCTAAGCACAATATTCTCTGATTTCTTATGCCATTAAAATGATCTTGCCTCTATCATAAACGGCTCCTTCTTGCTTTAAGATTCAGAGGCAGGAATGGAAGAGACGTTTCTCAACCCTCTGCTTTGCTCCTCAGCAAGTTAGGTACTGTGCCTCTGCTACCCAGGCCAGAAAATAGATGGGAGATGGGCTGGGGAAGGATGGAAGTGTTGATAGGTGATGTCATCCTCCTTAGCTAAAAGGAGCATCACTCTCATTTTCATCACAGAATCTGTAGCCTGTCTCTCCCCACTCTTCTAAGGCAGGCATCTGAGTGAGGATCTGGTGGGAAGCTAAGGAGCAAAGCACCAGGAGAAACTGTCTGTCTTGCAGAGAAATATGGTGGGAGGGAGGCACTTGATGAAGGATGTGAATGTATCATTGTCTCCCCTTTCATGGGTAGGGAGTGAATGAGAATTTATTTTTAGGCTCAGCCTGAAGAGTTGAGAGCAATTAGGGGCTAGGCTGGAGGCTTTAGTAGCCTACAGTCACAAATGAGAATGAATGTCATTGTCCTGTGAAACTAGTATGTCCTATGGCATACTAGTTTTACATGGGATGAGGGAAGACCTACTTAGCAGTGAGGGGCCTGGGGCACAGGACTGGATAGTTGAATGGGTTCCTTCTCTGGAGAGTTCTAAATATGGCAAAGTAAAGGGTAAGAGACCCTTGAAGTTTTAATAGATATTGGAAGTTGTACACCCAACCTCCTTTCTTTTGTAGTTCCAGCTTCTTGAGTTTGTGTTTTACTAAATACAGAAGATCAGTCACCCTTTTTTAGTTTGCCCTCAGCCACGCAGCCTACTATCAGTGGAGCTGAATTCAATTACATGCACATTTCACTCTTGTTCTTTCTTCTGCTTATTGTAAAAGTCCCAGGTTAACCAGGAAAAAGGGAGGTTGGCTAAAAATGAGAAGTATCTCAAATTGATTTTTAAAGCCTATCGAGAAACACGAGAAGAGGTATATGTGTGAGGTTCTTTTTTGAAAGTGTATTATGTTTTGAATTACTTTTGAAATTAAAAGACCAATAGCTCATGAAATAAGCAGCCATTATTTAGTTAGAAATATAAAAGAGATTTAGAAAAGATGGATCCTCTATATGGCAAGTCCTTATCATATCTTCTTAGAATCAGTTTATGGTGCGAAAAATGTCTAGGAAAGCTCTTTGGATTTTTTTTTTTTTTTTTTTTTTTTTGAGATTGAGTCTCACTCTGTTGCCTGGGCTGGAGTGCAATGGCATGATTTGGCTCATGGCAACCTCTGCCTCCTGGGTTCAAGTGATTCTCCTGCCCCAGCTTCCTGAGTAGCTGGGATTACAGGTGCCTGCCCCCAACGTGGCTAATTTTTGTATTTTTAGTAGAGATGGGGTTTCACCACATTGGCCTGGTCTGAAACTCCTGAGGTCTCGAACTGACATCAGATGATCCACCTGCCTTGGCCTCCCAAAGTCCTGGGATTACAGGCTTGAGTCACCACACCTGGCCAGCCCTTTGGATGTTTAACAGCACAGAGGTTTTGCCAGACCAACCAGACTGCCTACCCCCACCTCCCATATTAGATTCTCCTGAAACTGTCAAACAAAGGAACACAAAATAGAAACATACATAAGAAATTCTTTCAAGCCAGTCAATACTTGGCTAGTTTCACTGTGCTGCAATGTCTGATACTCATAGCAGACCAGGAATGATTTTTTTTTTTTATTTTTTTTTTTTTTTTCTTTTTTTTTTGTAAAGAAGGGCAACCACGGACTTGAGCAGACTGTAAATCCAAGTTGCAGGAGAAAAAGCTCATGATAGCAACCTGGGGCACCACCATGAGAATCTTTATGTGCTCTTTCTTAACACCTTGTTCCTGACTTCATTCATTTGCTTCTGATTATTTTTAGTGTTGTCAATTATTTAGCTAACAGGCAGAAAACTAGGCTTTTATTGACATCCAAAGGGACTCTCCTGTGTGTAATAATGAAGGCAGTTTATCGAATGCCTGTGAGGTTGCTTTCTAATTGTACGCATTAATCTGCCCGTGCAAGCTGGCTGAAAATACACAAGCAGATTGCACATGCAGATGGAGCACACAGGATGGTTTTTATGAAAAGACCTCTGGATTGTACTTTTGCAGTACTGTCTTTTCCTTAAAAATCGAATGACTGTGACTGTTTCAATGAGCGGCTGAGAGCAGAACAGATTAATGGTACATTAAGTCTGCTACTCTGGCTGGGGACGGACTCCAGTTTTATAATTTAGAATTAGTTCTAGGATTCTTGAGCCTGAAAACAGAGGGTAGAAATCAGCAGTTAGCCTTGGTCTAAGTTTTGAGGTTATTTTTAGTCTCTGTAATTATTTATTACTTATAAAAATTCATTTATGATACTTTTGGGTGGCCTTTTCTACTAAATGGAAGATGTGAAATAACAGTTGATAAACCATTTTAAAAAATTCCGCCGGGCGCGGTGGCTCAAGCCTGTAATCCCAGCACTTTGGGAGGCTGAGGCGGGTGGATCACGAGGTCAAGAGATCGAGACCATCCTGGTCAACATGGTGAAACCCCGTCTCTACTAAAAATACAAAAAATTAGCTGGGCATGGTGGCACGTGCCTGTAATCCCAGCTACTCAGGAGGCTGAGGCAGGAGAATTGCCTGAACCCAGGAGGCGGAGGTTGCGGTGAGCCGAGATCGCGCCATTGCACTCCAGCCTGGGTAACAAGAGCGAAACTCCGTCTCAAAAAAAAAAAAAAAAAAATTCCATCATAGGATGAATTTGTTCAAACATCTCTAAGCATTATACATGTCTATACTTACCAACTGCATTGAAGGCAGAAGGAAGGAAGTAAGGAGGGAATGGTTCAAGGCCCAAATGGTCATATTTAGAATACACCTGAGATTCTAATCATCGTTACGTGTGTGCGATTTTATTCAACAATGCTGTGTGCATATTGGATAGTTCTTATATGAAATATCTACTCTTTCCGTATACTTACAAGTGCTTGGTATATTTAAAAGTGGAACTAGTAGAATAATACTTTTTGTAAATAGCTTTTAAAAATGAATGGGAAATAACTATCTTTGGAAGTGGAATTGTTTTTTTTTTTTTTTTTTTTTTTTTTCAGAACTAAGAAAGAACTTATTTATTGAGGGCAAGGGGATGCAAACAATACAAAAATCAAAAGCTTGTCTGGCATTTAACTTTTCTTTCTCTGCTCATCAAATGGGAGTTAGATTTTATTTGTACACTTGCTAAGGGTCCTGATCTGCTCATGAAATCCTTACATGGGGGAAGCTGTGGGGCAGATTCCTTAAGTGACCCTTTGGGACAACTGTTATCAGGGCCAGGGGAATTCCTCGTTTCTGCCTACTTCTTTCCCTTCTGCTTCATGTGTACTACAAAATAGTCATTGCATGCAATGGTGAGGCCCGCAATTAGGGAAAAGAAGCTCTGGAAGCCCACTTTGCCATCTCTGCACTGGTCCAGGTCCTTCATTATTTTGTCCACGGCCAGAGGGTCTTTTTGATTTTCCAAAAATCCAGGGAACTCCTTTTCCATGAGTACTCTCAGGTCCTCCTTTGTTAAGTAGCCTTTATCCCCAGCAAATCTGTGAAATGTAAACATCATGGTTTCCATGGCATGTTCCATTTGAGATGGCATTTTGATGTGGTCTGTTGAAGCCTTGGCCGAGGCGCGGCGGACGCTGGGCTAGCTAGACGCGGGGCGGCGAAGCGAGCGCAGCGGGCTGTGAGCCTTCCTTAGTACGTGCGGCGGGTGGGCTGGAAGTGGAATTGTTAAATCACCTCTGTGAACAAACTCTCTACTTGTTTGTTGGGTTGAGGGAGGTAGGAGGGAAGAAGTTGCAAAGGGTGTTTTGCTTTGCTAGTACATACTAGAACATTTCAGCTTATCCATTGCCCTGTATGATATGTACATGCCATTTAACTTTGCCGTTCTTTATATATTGTGTACATACTGGACAAATGGGTTCTTATTTTATATCTGGTCTCTACAGTGGAAAACTTATTTGAAACAGCTAGCCTTTCAAGATGTTTAAAAACACACAACATGTTTTTTTTTTTTGTTTTTTTTTTGTTTTTTTTGAGACGGAGTTTCGCTCTTGTTACCCAGGCTGGAGTGCAATGGCGCAATCTCGGCTCACCACAACCTCCGCCTCCTGGGTTCAGGCAATTCTCCTGCCTCAGCCTCCTGAGTAGCTGGGATTACAGGCACGTGCCACCATGCCCAGCTAATTTTTTGTATTTTTAGTAGAGACGGGGTTTCACCATGTTGACCAGGATGGTCTCGATCTCTTGACCTCGTGATCCACCCGCCTCGGCCTCCCAAAGTGCTGGGATTACAGGCTTCAGCCACCGACAACATGTTAAAAGTAGAAGACTAAAGTAACAACCATTAGGTATTTTTTTGTTATTTCACAGGAGTGGTTGCATTTGAAAATAGAGTCATTGAGCTTGGTGTTTTGGAGAGTATGCTGACTGTTCATTGGATGGTGGCAGGTTGGGGGGAAGAGCAAGTATGCAGAGACAGGTTGTGAGTTAGATTAGTTCAGATTGTCTAATCATTGTTCTATATGTGAATTTTAATTAATATTGCTGTGTATTAAAGGATAAATAAGTCCTAATGCTAAAAGTTTTTTAAAAGTAGAGGTAGTAAAATAATCCCTTTTCAAATGTCCTTTTGTTAGTTTTCAGGAAGTCCTGTCTTCTGGGACTGACCTTTGTTAATCTGCCTCTTGGAGTTAGACGTCATTCGGTACTTAGTCATTAGAATGGTGGAAGAGGGTGACGGGAAGGGCTTTTGTTAGTGTCTCCATATATAGAAGACTGCCTTGGATTATAACCTTAGAAGTCTGTATGTGCATTTTTAGTAAAGTGCCTGGGTTTATTGTGGATCAATTTAATTATTTTGCAATATTTAAGCTTTATAGATGTCCTGAGGAAACAATGTATGATAAAAAGTAGAGCTAGTGAATTAGCCAATTTGTACATTTTTTTGGTTATAATTGATTAAAAAAAAAGGATGCATGTTGGACATGGAATTGTTAAACCACCTCTGAGCAGTGTAGGTCAGGACTTGTTCATTAGGTTGGCAGCAGAGGGGCAGAAGGAAGTAAAAAGGAAGAGATGTATACAGATGTATTCATATTTACATTTTAATGCTAGCCATTGAGGTAGGTGCATCTCTTGGTTGTATTACAGGAATATCTTAGGTAACTAAATAGAAACATACCTTCTTGCTAATATTTTAATGTAGTAGATCTGATAATTTCCTTAGAAACATTATACTTAGTATATTCTGTTGCTTTATGTTTCATTTTAAATTAAGCATTAAGAGAATGCTGTATATTAACTGGAACTCTACCAATGCCTTTATCTAGAGGCCTGTTGCCATTTTTGTCTTCTATGAAACTTTTGTCCCAAGAAAGGTGGGGTTACATGTTTTATTTCTAACAGATTGAGTTCGTGTAGTGTATTCTTGGTTATCAAAATACTTATATATTGGTATTTTCAACTGGTAAATATTCATGATGTGAAAAAGCATGATACATACAGTATGATCTCCGTCCTATAAAATTGGATATTGAATCTGTATACACACAGGACTTAGAAGGACATGTCAAACTGTACAACTGCTTGTGGATAACTTTGTTCTTTGTTTCTTGTGTGTTTTTAGTTTACTTTTAAAAAATAAAGATTATTTTAAAAGCTTGAAAAACACCTGCTAATTTTGAACCTGTGGAATGGCAGACTTAATATTTGGCACATTTGATATATGCTTTTTTTCATTTAATTTTCAGATCAACCTTTTAGAGATGTATCCCCGTTTTATAGGTGGAAGCTTAGGTAATTAAAATTTCTCAAAATCACAGAGACAGTAAGTGATGCAACTAAATCTAAGTATTGGGAGTTTTGGGGGTTTGGGAAAATAGGTGATTGAGAAGAATAATACATACTTTGTAGGTCAGGAATATCTGAGTAGGGTGTAGGGGTGGCAAGAACTGTAGAAATACAGGCTACCTGTGGAGAGGACTGTTGGAGAGGGTGGGACAGGCAGCTCAGAGAGAAAGACTTGGGCAGTTGACTTTTATTTCTTCCTACCAAGATCTAGATTTTGCTAGAAGAGGTAAAAGTGCAGCTGAGGAAATGTGTCTGCTTTCTCTGTGATCAGCAGATATGAATGACCTCCTCTTCCCAGGCCCAACACTGCATTAGTGCCATAATTAAACTTACTGTAGGGTGGATGGGCTTTTGTGTCCTCTCCTGGCTGCACTCTATTCCTAGGTACCATTTCCAACATTGTTTCTAGGGGAGAAGGGGCTCAGTTCCAAAAACCTCAGTTGGAAAAGCTCTTGGAACCAAGCCCATTCCAAAATAGGGCCTTCCTATTTCTGAACTGCCATGGACCACCTGAGCTCAGCCTGTCGATTGTAATATTGGAAAGTTTGCTTCATTTTTGCCATTGAAACCATGCATCTGTTTTACTTCCATTTGAATAATAGTGTGATTAGTTCCTATGGGGCACATCTTCATCTATTTTAGTCTCCTAGAGCTGAGAATCCAGGCAAGTCTGCTGAATATGCACGCTTAGGCACCAAGTTTGCCTTCCAATATGCTCACAAAACTTCTAATGTCCTTCGTGGGAGCTTCTGAAAGACACTTAAGGGCTCAGTTGATCCCTTATCCATATGGTAGACTTAAATCCAACCTTGAATTTTATAATCCAGGTAAGGTGAATAGAAAGTCATCCTATTCATAACTTTCTATCTTATGCTAATAAAGTGAACTTATAGATACAAAAAAATCTCATATCTATTTTGTTCAGAATAAGAATGAACAGCTTATGAAAAATCTGGTTAGAGAGAATTCCTACCTATTAAATGTAAAATCATGCTGATGGTTAAAACCATGTTAAAATCTCTACCCATTATCAATTCTCCCTGCAGATATCCTAGTGTATGTTACCTTGTTTTCATTCCCACTATCACTGGCCTCATGTCAGTACTATTACATGCCACTTGAATCATGGCCTGTGTCTTCTGTGACACCTTGCCACCCCCCGGTCTACTACTATGACTCCATTACTATCTTTGCAACCAGTCACTTCATTGTCTTACATGTTTTGTCAAGTTTAGTTTTCTAAAACACAGCTTTGGTCATGTCACTCCTCTGGTCTAACAGATTTGTTTATCTCCTATTCCTGCTGCCTATAAAATGAATTCCAGACTCCTTAGACACACCATGGGGAACCACGGGCCATCTTAGATGTCAGAAAGGACTTATACCATTTGCGTCTGTGTCAGGTTGATGTGGTTTGGCTGTGTCACCACCCAAATCTCATCTTGAATTCTAGCTCCCATAATTCCCATGTGTTGTGGGACAGACCTGGTTGGAGGTAATTGAATCATAGTGGTGGGTCTTTCCCATTGCTGTTATTGTGATGCTGAATATGTCTCAAGAGATCTGGTGGCTTTATAAAGGGTAGTGCCCTGCACACACTCTCTCTTGCTTGCCGCCATGTAAGATGTGTCTTTGCTCCTCCTTCACCTTCCACCATGATTATGAGGCCTTCCCAGTCATGTAGAACTGTGAGTCAATTAAATCTCTTTTTCTTTATAAATTACCCAGTCTCAGGTATGTCTTTATTAGCAGCATGAGAACCGACTAATACTTAGTTTATTTAGGGGAAGGTTTAAGGAAGTGAGCTTTGCTCTGGATTAGATGTTATCAGGAAGTAGGGGTAGGTCTATGATGAGGTATCTTAATCTTACCTAGAAAGAGGGAAGACTAGAGTGAGACTCATGCTGGAATTGATAAAGAAGCAGCAGTCACTCATATTAGCCATAATTTTGGGATGTTAGGTCACTTTTGTAGTTTGTACATCGTCCATGTATTTTTCTGCATTCAGACATGCTATAGATTGGTCTTGTTTTTGTTATGAGCTATTATAGTGACAGTGACCTCTTTGGATGTTGACATTATGTGACTTGGTTACTTTCAACAGTAGAACACGAAGGCCTAGCTGTGAGTGCCAGGCCAGTTTTTATCTTTCTCTGTATGTAATTAATAATTGGTAAAAACTAAAAGTTGACTAGTTCCTTTCTTACAAAATAGTTTCACTTGGTTTTCTTATCACTGGAACCTAGTACCATCCATGTTCTCCTTTTGGGAGGGCAGGGGAGCTGGGGTTAGACTGCCCGAGTTTAAACTATAACATTTTTCCTCATTAATAGAACATTATTTAACCTCCTGGGGCCTGAGGTGGGGGGTAGCAATAGCTGCCAACTCGGAAGATTATTTGATATAATCCACGTAAGAGATCTAAGATAGTGTTTGGAAAGAGACGCCGAATACAGTGTAACTCCAACAAAGACAGCAGAGGAAGAAGTGAGGGAAAGTGAGCAGCCAACTCCAGCCTTTACCCCCAACAATAGAGCCTGAGAACCAGTTCTTGATGCATGACATTCACTAAGAAGGCCCTGGGACCCAGAAAGTGCTCCAGGTAAACATACTATACCTGGGGGAATATGTGGCCCCCATCCTAAAGACAAGCCACCTGCACAGCCAACTTAATCACTTCTCTGTGAGCTCTAAGAGCCTTAATAAAATAATTACATAAAAATGATCTCTAGTCCAACTAATAGTAAATCCAAGAAAGAATAAGGCATAGATACCAGAACCATTTGTGAACAAAGAAAACAGTGACATTTGTAGTCAAATATATGCTTGGTTTTCTGTTTAAATAAGAATCAACAGGCTCTA